TGTAGAAAATATGTTTTTGAATTCATAAAAAAATTTCCAAAGAAAAAAATTGATTTTCATAATTTTTATAGCATTTTTCTTTTTAAATCTCTTTTTTTAGGCTGAAAATGCTAAAAAATACAAATAGTTTTCATTTTTTTAAAATGAAAATTCATTTGTTTATTTTTCTAACTAAATAATTTTTATATATAAAAAATAAAAATACAAAAAAATTAAGGATAAAATTGTACTAATTTGAAATTAAAAAGAAGATTTTTTAAAAAAATATGCAAAAATTATATTTTTTAGCATTTTTAGCCTAAAAACAAAGTTTTTTTTCAAAAAAATGCTATAAAAATTATGAAAATCCATTTTTTTATTTGGAAATTTTTTTGTGGATTCAAAAACATATTTTCTACAAAATTAGGTATAGATTTCAAAATCAACCAATTTTTTAGAAAAATAAAAATTCAAAAAGGTCAAAATATTTTCTGACCGATTTTATTTTATGACCATTGAACTCCTCACAAAAAATTACTTTAAAAATAATTTTCTTGAATATTTAAATTATTTCTTCAATATAGTTAAAAATATAGGTGAACACTCCCCTTAAAATTGTATTAAAAATAATTGAATCCCTGTAAAAAAATTTTGATTGAATTAAGAAAAGTTTTTGAAAATAATTGAAATTTTGCCAAGAATTGTATTCAAATTTTTGAAAATTATTGAATTTTGGAGAAAAATTTTATTATTTATGAAGGTAATTGAAATTTTGACGATAATTTTTAAACTTTAGACCATAATTGAATTTCTGCGAAGAATTTTATTACTTTTGAAAATAATTGATTTCTTAAGACGAATTTTAATAATATTAATTTTTATATAATTGAATTCTTTTGCGAAATTTTATTGAAATATTATATATTAAAAATAATTGAATTTTGAAAAATTATTGAAATTAATTAAATTTCTACGAAGAATTTTATTAAAATTATTTTGAAAAAAAATTGAATCGTTAAGGGCATTTGAACCATGATGACGTCACAGATTTAAAACTAATGCTTTGCACAAACTGTGACGTCATCAAGGTTCAAATCCCCTTAAAAAGAATTTTATTAAAATTTTTGAAAATAATTTAATTCTTTCAAGAAATTTAATTAAAAATGTACTGACAATGATACTTAAATTCTAATAAATAAATTATAGGAAGTCTTTTTTAAAATAATTGAATTTCTTTGATAAATTTTAATATAATTTTTAAGAATAATTCTATTTTTCGAGAAATTTTATTAAAATTGTATTAAAAATAATTGAAATTCTGCGATGAATTTTATTATTTATGAAAATAATTGAAAACCTATAAAGTTTTTTATTATCGATGAAAATAATATTGAAACTCTATAAAAAATTTGATTATTTATGAAAAAAATTTAAAATTCAATTCACTTTGAAATATTTAAGTAAAATTAGATTTCAAGAATAAACACAATAACTTTAAAAACAATAATTTTCCAGGATACCGATAAAAATTCCCTGACTTTTCCAGGTTTTTTCAAGGTTTAGAAAATTCCCTGACATTTCCAAGTTTTGTGGCAACCCTGATTCAGCTTTAAATAGAAATAGAATTAAAAAAATGTTTTCCATTAAAAAAAATGCAAAAACTTTCTCTGGTAAAATTTCTTTTTCATCTCCAACAACAATAATAGAAAATTTTGAATAATCACAATTGCTGCGTCTGCAAACGACTGAGTGTCTAGAAGCCAAAGTTCAATGATCCGCAAAGCATTGTTAGTGGCCAATAAAAAGAAAGAAATTGAGAAAACTCTAAAGGCGAGATTGAATTGTAAACCTAATAATAATCAATTACGTAGGCGTTCATGTCTAGAAACATTGACGAGACGAAAATTTAGACAACTAACGTAATTGAAATAAAAACATTGCTAAACTATTTGAATACATTGACCAGATGTTACATGCTATTGTATTTATAAAAAGAAAATAAAAATTTCGTGAGAGCTATTTCGTAGTACAGTTCCGTCGAACGTTTTCGATCGCTAATAATTTTGCGGAGGTGGAGGCGTGCACGATCGTTTACCTCTCGAGGAGGAAGTCGAACATATACTACAACCTCGTGGGTAAGACTATGCGAAGATAGTCGCATCGGAATCGCATCGAGAAAGATACTGTTAGAACCACGTGAAGATACCTACCGACCGACACTTCCGACGGAATCCGTTGTTATTGCGTTACGATTTAGAATCATGTTCAACCTTCAGATTCAAATATATACGTGAAGTAGATCTTGAAACAGACAAGCAATTCAACGCTGGGGGAAAAAAAGAAGAAGCAGCAGAAGAAGAACCTTGCAAATTTAAGTCCATACCAACAAAGATCTTGTTTTGACCTTCTGAACCTTTTTGTATATAGATTTTTATCCTACGAAATGAACGACTGTATTTTTATTTTAGAAAAATTTCTAAAAAGTAAATTTTCTATCTTTCCAATTTAACGGATTAAATCTTAGCTATCTTTAACATTAAAAGCATCGTGCATTTATTCCTAAACTTCAGAGTGTTTGAATGCACAAAATTTATTCACTTCTGGTTTGAATTAAAATTTTATTGCAATACTGCTGCAACACGTGATCGAAACAGAGTAAAAAAATTGGTAATAATTATTTCTAGGTAAATTAACAATATTTATTCATAACTTGAAATTTTAATTTTGTTTGAATTAGAACAAAAAATAAATGAAGAAATATTCAAAAATCCGTCTCTCACCTGAGTTGCAACACTTTCTCCACAAGAGCGCTAGTGTCGCTAATACTAAAAAAAATGCTTTATCAAAACGATGCTCGCGCAACAATTTTCTGTTTGTTAATTATTAAAGAAATTATAATTTAGTTGTTAATTAATACTAATTTGTTTGTTTGTTAATTAAGTCCTTAATCTATTAGCACTTAGCAACTTCTTATTACTTTTTTTAAATAAAATTAGAAATTTTAAAAATAATAGAATTTAAAAATTTTCCAATTTAAATTATTGTTAAAAACACTAAAAAAATCAATTTTAGAGAAATTACAAATAAATGGAGAAATTCAATTATTTCAAAAAAAAATAAAATTCAACTATGTTAAAAATTTGAAAACAATTCTAGTAAAAAATCCCAATTATCTTTATAAATAACAAAATTCTTCTCCAAAGTTAAATTATTTTCATAAATGTCAAAAAAATTCTTGTCCTAATTTCAATTATTTTCAAAAATTTTTCTAATTTCAATGATTTTCAATATATACTATTTTAATAAAATTTCCCAGAAAGAATTCAATTATTTAAAAAAAAATTTAATTAAATTGTGAACAAACATTTAATTATTTTGATAAATAATAAAAATTTCACAGGTATTCAATTATTATTTTCATAAACAATAATTTAAAATTCTAGAAAATAATAATTGAGTTAAAATGATGAAAATAATTTTGATGAAATTACAATAAGATATTCTTATAATATAAAATAATGATTTTATCTCTCGGTCATCTTTAATTATTAGAAAACATGAAGAAATCGATCACTCCGAGTCTTCGACTACTTTTATAAGTTGTTTAATTTAAAAAAGGTTTGAATTTGAAATTTTTGAATGTGTTAATTCCTGTGGAAAATCCTCTTACAAAAATAAGATTAAAAATAGGAATGGTGCAAATATTTTTCTTCTTTTTCTAAAACAAAATAATAATTTTGTTAAAAAAATTGTGATTCGTAGCTGTGATATAGCAAACCCAAAGTTTATTTTCTCTCTAACTTTTGAAGCAACTTTTGAACATTAATTACATTAATATTTTCTGATTTGTTGAATAATTATAAGTAAAATGATGTAAATAATGCATGAGTGCTCACAAATTAAAAAAATTTCCTTTTTTTTTGTCGAAGTGAGCATGTTTTTTAGATTTGCCCATATATTAGAAAATAAAAACATCAAATAATTTTAAAAAAATTCAATTCCTAAACTTTTTCGAAAATGTTAATTTTACAAAATTGTTAGTTAAAAGTATGAAAAATTCAGATTTTCAAAGATTTTAATTTGAAACCTTTTCAAAATTCAATTATTTCTAAAAATTCAAGCAATAATGCTTTTAATATTCAATTAGATTATCTACAATTTTAAATAAAATTCATTTTTAAATTAATTTTTATTAGAAAATTTTACGAATTTTTAAGAATAATTTCATTTTTTGAGGAATACGATTAAAATTGTATTAAAAATAATTGAAATGCTGGGATAAGTTTTATTATTTATGAAAAAAATTGAATTATTGATAAGAAATTTATTAAAAACTTATATATAATTGAATTTCTGGAAAATTTTTATTATTTATGAAAATTTTAAACGTTTGCGTAGATTTTTATCAAAATTTCTTTTAAATAATTTAATTCTTATAAAATATTTTATTAAAATACCTTGTAGAATTGTAGATATTGGAAATTATTGAATTTGAGGAAAATTTTTGAAAATAATTGAAATTTCGACTAGAATTTCATTAAAATTTTTGAAAATAATTGAATTTCAGAAAAGAATTTATTATTTATAAAGATAATTGACATTTTGACGAGAATTTTTTTTAAATTTTTGAACATATTTGAATTTCTACGAAGAATTTAATTACTTTCGAAAATAATTGAATTTCTCCAATTATTTGTTATTGTTATTAAGTTATTGAAAAATAAATTATTGTCAGAAATAGAAAAAATTGAAGGTTTTGCATTAAAATTCGTGATAATTCCATAGTTTATGTCGCTAATACTAACGAAATGCTTTATCAAACAATCCCCTCGCAATAATTACCTGTTTGTTAATTAATTACTTAATTAATTTCTTCATTAATTGTTAATGAATATTAATTTTTCTATTTGTTAAATTATTTCTCAATTAATTATCATTCACTTGTTCAATTATCATTTAATAATTAGGATTATTTCTTAAAGGTTTCACAAAAAAAATCTATCGAAACAATACTTTGGTACTAGAGTGTAAAAACATTTATTCACTGGAAGAAAATATCCTAAAGAACTTACAGCATTAGCACACATGTTCTCTTAAAAACAGCCTATTTTTGCACTTAAAACTAAAGTAAGTCAATTTAGCTCTTAGAACTAGTTTTGAAATCTTAAATTATGTCAATATTTGGACTAACATAGATTATTATTTTAGCCGAATTAAATTTAAACAATGTATCTTTTTTTTCTTTTTCCTCTTCAAGTTTTCGATGTATACAAGTAATTTGAATTTTTTAAAGTTTCTTCTTCGTTATTAATCCCATACTGTAGGATAGTCATTTCTTAAAGTACAAATTATGAAAGAGTAAAAATCTCCCATTGTATTCCCTTAAACTTCTATCATCACTATTTACAAAAAGCAATCATTATTTATATTGTCATTTAATTCTTTTCCCTACTTCATAAAATTGATAAATTCATAAATTGTCATAAAAATTATCTAAAATGTAAGTACTGCTATTAAAGTTCTTAAGTTAACAGTTGCCGACGATGAAAACAACATTAACAAGAGGGTAAAAAAATTGGTTAAAGACTAAATGCAGATCCAGCGGAAACGAAACAAAAAAATCTAGTTTATATCTAATTATACATTAAATTGTGTAACATTAGAATATTACACATTTCGTATCAGACCGAATAGTGGAAATACTGAATTCATATAAATTAGGAAAAGTAAAAGTACCTAAACACACATATCTTGATCTACAAAAAAATTCAACGTACACAATTCTGGAGCGAGTTTGGAAAGAAAAATTTGCCTAAAATAAAACTTTTCCTAATCGAACCCACTGAATAATAATCTTTAGATCGACGTGCTCGCGGAACGTGTCGAGATCTTACGAGCATGTGGGTGAAGGCTGCAGGAGATGTCGAAAGTGAAACTCAAGGCTCTGACTTAGCGCTTCATAGTAGCCATTGTCCATTTCTTTCTTTCCTCTTTTTTTCTCTTTTTTTCTCATTTTTATTCTCCAACAACTTCCCATCGAATTTTCAATATTGCCATTGCTAGTATCAATATTGATCAGTCTCTTACTGTCATCAAACACGGGAAAAGGATTGACATTGACAATTGTTGACAATTGACATTTGACCATTGTTGAAATAAAAAACCATTGTGAATCCAACTTCCTGTTTATATCCCAACTCGATCTCAATTTAAACCCAGCATCTCATCCTCCCTTGCTTAAAAGAAGATATATTCCCTTTCGGTGTGGGTGATAATTGCTATCTATCAAGTAACACGACTAAGAGTTTGCGATGTTACCGCAGATGAATCCACTTGTAGAAAGAGAGATACATAAGAAAAAAAGGATGTAATAATGATCCTTTGGTGATTCGTAATATATTATATTCTATGGATAAGTTACTTCAAGTTCTTATTGGGTTTCGGGATGAAAAAGGTCAGCACGATGCAAACTGAACAGAAAAAATATTAATGTTGCGCTTTTACCAATCTGGCATTGAGGAATACATACACACACACACACACAATTTCAACTCATACATATATTGTATATGTAAACACTCACGTAAAATGAAAAAAGCCAGGGCGATGATTGGGACGAAACAGCCGTACTCGAGCAAAACAGGAAACATGATGTTCCCTAAGAGAGCGCCTATGCGTCCAGTCATCATGATCAAACTCACAGCCATTGTTCTACGAATCAAAACAGAAGTTATCCCACGTCTCTCCATTCTCCATTCCTACAGATTGATCTTTTACATAAATCGTTCTTCGGGAGATTGTAATATACCTATTTTATGTACTTCGCCTTAAATCTATAGGGGATATATTCTTATTCTTTTAAAAGTCCTATGCTCAACGCACGTGCAAAAGTTTCACACGTTTATAATCATTCTTCCTTTTACCCTCAGAAACCCCTTTTCTTCTTTTACAAAAGAAAAAGGAAAAATTTTAACAGTTTGGAATGTTAAATAAAAATATTCATTTAAAAATAGTTTTCCTTCGACGACGACGAGAGTATTTTATTCAAATTCCAGAAAATTCTCTCCTATCTAATATCTTCTCTGTATACACTCAGGGAAAAAGTTTTTATTCTACCAAACTGTTGAATTCATCTATTTTATTTAACAATGGAAAGTTTAAAAAATTTATCGAAATTTAGTTTATTCATTTACTGTACTCTCTAAATCTGAATTAGTAAAAATTCTCTAATAAAATAAAGCGAAGTCGTTTAGCAAATGGTTTTATAATAAAAATATACTATACACATAAAAAACTGAGTGTTGTTTTTAATATTTTGGTTGGGTAATCTTATTGAGGGTAAATATTCATAATAGAAAATTTACCCTATTTTCGATGTTAAAATGACACTTCCGAGCTAAAATTTGTTGCGGATACTTTTAACACTGATTTCAGTGTTAAAATAACATTCAGTTTTCTCTGTGTTATAGCAATCAGCGAAACTTTATTAATTGTTAGCAGAATTTCACTAACAATTAGTAGACCTGTTTTATTAAAAGTTACATAAGTTCCTGAATAAAGTCGACGCTCAACGAAGAAAAATGCTTTTTCCTCAAAAATAAAAATAATAAAACAATTTTTTAAGGTTTTAGGTGAAAAAAGTGCTCTAAACTTATTTTTACTCCAAAAGTGAACACTAAAAGTAAAATTAGTGACATTTTTAAAGCTAAAATCCTTTAAAAAAATCATAACTTCAGGGACATAAAAGTTAATAAAATAATTCCACTAATTCATTTAGTGAATCCGATGATTCACTAGGAATCAGTGAAATTCTACTAAAGAATTAATAAATATTTACTAACAATTAGTGAAATTTCACCATTTGTTAGAAGCATTCCACTGATTCTGATTAGTATGAATAATTATTAACTTCACTGAAAAAAAAGTTCTGGTTAGGGTGTATTTAACACGATATTCTAGTTAAAACAACCAGAATTCTGGTTAAATTAACTAGAATTCTGGTTAACCTAACCAGAAAAAATCTAGTTAGGGCATATTTAACACGAAATTCTAGTTAAAAACAGGTTTTCTGGTAATTCCAACCAAAACTTTTTTTCAGTGTTTCCCAGTAAAAAAAAACTAATTCAAATGAATTGAAACGAATTAACATTTTTGGTAGGCTCCAATTCGTATTTGTCACAAAGCGGGATTCACTCAAGCTCTTTGTATATTCAATTGAATTTAATTCAATATGTACCAATTTGTCCAAACGAATTCGCATTCGAAAGAAATGGCCAAGGAATGCATTGAATTCGTGCTAACGAATTGAAAAAAATTAAAGGCTCAAAACTTGTCCAGTGAATTGGTACGGATAGAAGGTTCGGAAGTTCAATACAGTTTCACGAATTCAGGAAAATTGCATCATGGCTCCAATTCGTATTTGTCACAAAGCGGGATTCACGAAAGCTCTTTGTGAATTCTTTTTAATTCATTTCAATTAGTTTTCGTTTACTGGGTTTAGTAAAATATTACTATTTTGTTCAGTAGTTTTAATTTTTAATACAAATTTTGAAAATGTTATGTTTTTATGAATTGAATTGGCGTTTAATTAAAATTAAAATGATTTGTCATTCAGACAATTAGTAAAATCTCACTATTAGTAAAAATATTGACTAATTTTTAGTAAAATGTTACTATTTTGTTTCACAGTTATAATTTCTTTTACTAAACTTTTAATTAAAAATGATTGAAAGTTAGTAAAAATTGTTACTGTTGTAACTTAGTAGCTCAATTTTCACTAATTCAAGTTTATAAAAAGTAAATTTTTAATGAATTGAACATTACATATTTAATTAGATTTAGAAATTTTATAATTTTGATACTTTTAGTGAAAAGTTTCCAGAAAGAATCGTTAACTTGACCATTGCTAATTTTACTTCATTGAAAATAAAATTTATTTGATTCCTATAAACGATTATTTTTCTATTCGTAAATAAATATTTATTTGTAAAAAATAATTTTTACTTGCATCAATTACATAACATTTGCTTCAAATTCTAAAACTATTGGTTCAAATACAATTTTTTTGATTCAAATCAAAAATATTTAATTCAATTAAATATTTATTTGATAGTAGATAAGTAATCCATTATTTGAATCAAATAATTTTTTTTCAGTGTTGTTACAATAAAACAGTTTTGCTTATTGAAATAAAAATTGCGTTTTTTAAGGAGAATAGTGACTATAATATAATTCCGGAACAAAAAAATAATTTTTAACACAAATAGAAGTACACTGCAAGCCCGATCAGCGGTCACCCGATCAGTGGTCACTTGTTTACGTCGTTTGTAGATGGTGCGAGCGAGGGGCAAAGAGGGAGTCGAAAAGTTGTGGCAGTAGCGTATACATTAAAGACGCTCTGGCCCCTTAAAAAAAATTCAGTAGTCAAGTAATGGTAACCCATCACAAAACAGTTCGTACGGTCCTATATGTTTACGCCCGATCAGCGGTCAAGCACTCCCGGAGCTGACCGCTGATCGGGCTTGCAGTGTATAATAAACATTAAACTTCAACAATTTTGTAATTAACTTAACTAATTAATTATAGTTATTAGAAAAATTAACTAATTCTAATAGTTCAAAAAAAAAACTTGAATCAAAATCTTTTATCAAATAATAATTTTTTTAAATAAAATAAAATGTTAAAAAATAAATATTTTACGTTAGATTTTGACTGAACATAATTTTTTTCTAGAAAGTGTATAACTAGATGATCTTCCAAAATTATTTCAAATTAATTTTTATCTTTTTTCATTTGCGATAAAAATTTCTTATTTAAAAATAATAATTTATAATTAGTAAAAATTTCTACTAATGCAAAGTAATTTTCTATTAAATCTTCAGTAAAATATTAAAAACTACTAGTTTTGAATGAAAAAGTGTATTTCATTCAAGTTAATAATGAAATATTAAATTTTTAAAATAGAAAAAGATAAAAAATTAAATTTCAAATAATTGAAATTGAAATTAAGAAGTTACTAATGAAAAATTTATTACTGTGTAATCCAAGCAATTAGCACTTTACTACGAACTGGTAAAAAATCTTAATAATTTAAATTACAGTAAACAACTTCCCATTTCTTCAGATATACAGACAGTAAAATTTGAAATAAAATACTTAGACTTATAAATTATAATCGATTAATTGAAAGAACGATCTATTAAAAGAAACCTATAAAATTGCCTGTAAAACTACCCAAATGGCAACATAAAAATTAAAAAACAAAAGATATCAATACCCAATAATTATTGTATCCGATTCGAACCGTTTATAAATGACTCGTGACTCATTGATAAAATTGAATTCATGTGACTAAATATATGCGACCCGATTTATTAAATCGCAGATGCAATAATGTCTTCTTAAAAAGAGTTTAATCGGATCAATTGTTTCAATTGAAATTTAGCGCTCACTTTAATCTAAAAATACTTTATCTGTACTTAAAAATATTAGACGTTCACCTATAATTTTTCCTTATTCTTAATTAGAAAAATTGTTTTCAGATTAACGAATTATTCTCACCTCAATGTTGTCGGAAATAAATCGACAGTAATACTGATACTTAAATTGACACAAGCACTTTGAACTCCAGAATAAATACAGGTGATAATAAGAGTTATCAGTGTATTCGGAGACCACTGCATTGTTACAATCGAAATAAACGAGATGAAAAGTGAAATAACTAAAAAGATAAAAGTACAATTTCACAGATATTATTAACTGTAAACTAAATTCTCTCTAAATACAAATATTTTTTGCGCAAATTGAGCCTTTAATTAGTAAACTAAGCCCAAAATTCGGTCGATTATGCTTCATTTCTACTTTGACTTTCATTTTCCCTTTCATAGATTTTTTTTACTTTCTAAGTGGAAATAATATTGAAAGTGAAATGAATAATTTATTAAAGTGAAAATAAATGTAAAAATAAAATTTGTTTAAGTGATAATACAAGTAAAAATTAAATTGATAATAAAAATCTATTAATATGAAAGTAAAAATCAAAAGTATAGTTAAAAAAGTATTTTTTGTGTTAACTAATGGCTCAATTTTTACAAATACAAACTCAGAGAGAATTTAAATAAAATCTCAGAGATTATCCCAATATGCAATAAAACTTACGCAAAAGTATTTTATTCCGAAGAACACTCACTAATAAGGCAGCCAAAAATACAAAACTAGTAGTCACACTAGAAACAATCATGGCAAAATAGTAAACGGAAGAATCAACAGGAATCTACAAAAAATAGTCATTAAATTTCCTGAATATCAAAAAAATTCGAAAGCAAATTCTTTCTAAATGATAGAAATAAATTCCTTCTCTTGTGTCTATTTCAATGATGATAATAATTATTATTATTATTATTCTAAGTGGAGATTCTAAAAAGTAAAACCCCCAAAAAAACAAATGAGAACAATAATAAAAAAGTAAATAATTATTATTAATATCTAATTATCTAATTAAGTGCTAATGATGTTTAAAAAATAGAGCAATATTCATACTTCTTTGCAATGTTCAGATCCTTCTATACTAACAATTGTCTGATTGGCCATAACAGACTTTGAATTGTCAAGAATTTCACAAAAAGACAATTCTTCTGGTCCTTTATTTGGTAAATTATCAAAATACGTCAATATTGTAAAAATCTGCGGTTGCCATAAGCGAATAGTATTTAATCTGTAAGTGCAGAAGAAAAGTTAACATAGATATGTCTCTATTTGACACACAAATATTTTTACTTGTTACAAATACTCTCTAAATACGAATCAAATCAAAATTCACTCGAAATCAAAATTTCACTTTTTAAAAATTTTTGAAAAAATGCGTTAATCTCTACATAATCTAAAATGCAATCAATGTTGCAATTAAAAAATTGCTGCAATATTGACAACATTACTTCAATGTTGACATTAATTCTTTATATTTTCATCTTCATTTTCACTTTGATTATTTTTACTTTTATTTTCACTGTCACTTTTGATAGATTTCTCTTTCTACTTTCACTTTTATTTCCACTTTCGGCTTGATAAATTTTTATTTTCACTTTCCCTTTGATAGAAACTGAAAATAAATAGTTGTCAATAAGTGAAAGTAAAAATAAAAATCTATCGAAGTGAAAATGAACGCAAAAATGAAATAGAAAATAGCAATTTGTCAAAGTGAAAATGAAAATAAAAGTGAAAATAAAAATCTATCAATGTGAAAGTAAAAATTACAGTAAAAATAAAAATGTATAAAAGTGAAAATAAAAATCTATCAATGTGAAAGGGAAAATTACAGTAAAAATAAAAATGTATAAAAGTGAAAATGAAAGTGAAAATAATTAAATCTTTCAAAATGAAGAGAAGCAACATTTTTTTCCATTTATCTAAAATTAACTCAAAATTGAAACTGAAAACAAATTTTGTATTGATTGATGTAGTACAACACTGAATCTAAAACAGTCAAGTAATCATTCCCATAAAATACCATCCAATCAAAAACAATTTAGTAATAAATCTCAAACTACAGGAATAATTCTAAATGTTTAGTATAAACTCAGTACTATTTTTTCAGTTTCGATTTTTCTCCATCAAGAATTAAAAAATCAATTTAAAAAGCCCTTACGTCATAAGAATTCCAAAATTGAGAGTAACCACCAACAGCAATCGAAAACCTAAAGGCGCCACAAACAATGGTTTCATCTGACGCATTCCATGCATTAAAACACTTTTGAATGGTCTCTTATGACATTTGTTGGATTCTAAATTCGAAAATTCACCATCTCTCTCAATTGAAATGATATTCACTCCATTTTTTACCGTCGTATCAACCACTTCGGACTCCAACTCGCGAATCTGATGAAGAAATAGTAACATAACAAAATTTTTGAATCAACTCTCGCCTATTTAATCGAGCTGTGATATTATTATTTTTTTTTTTTTGTGCAGTTGATCAAGTTGAGATCATCCGATCTGACGGATTTTCTAGTACCGGATAACTGTCTGGTGATTGACCAGAATTCATCGCGTAGATCTTCCTAAACACCTGTAGAGCTTCATCATTACGACCTTGACTCATGAGAAATTTTGGACTCTCGGGAAAGAATAGAAAGCACGCCGCTCCAATAATTATTGGTAGACCACAAAATGACATGTATAAACGCCAGGAATTGTAGACAAAATTTCCATTAAATAAAATTATAGACCATTTGTGTGGTATTATCAGCCAGGCCATTGCTGTTGATATTAAAAAAATATATATTTTGTGTTAAAATTCATTCTTTCAATTGTCACTATAATAAAATAATGTCGTAACGTTTACTCCTTTTTACATCATTTTACTAAATATTTGATCAAGAATTACAAATTTGAAAAATAAGATAAAACTGATTACCACAGAGTCAAAATATTTTTTTATAGCAAAAAACATTCTTCTTCTAGAAAATATTTTATCTTTTATTAAAAAGTAGTAAAAATTAAAAAATTTAATTCAAATCATTAAAAAAAATTTGTCCTTTACATATAATTTTTGCACTGAAAAATTTGTTTTGAAATATTTTATCGTCTATTTAAAAATAGTAATCTAGAAATATTTTTCTTCCTTTATATATGTATAATTTTTGCAGGGAAAAAATTCTTATAAACTTTAGAGGAAATGGAAAAGAAAATAATTTCCTGTTGCTTTGCAATGAATTGAATATTTCATTCACAATATATATTGTATATAAAAATGAAATAATACGTTACAATAATATGTATATTATGTGAATGTGAAAAATAATGAATAAAATATGCCTTTTAAAAATGAGAGTTAATTCAAATATTTCGCAATTACTGACAAATTATTATTATTATACAAAGGAAGCGAATTTTTTTTCTACCTGCATTGAGAATTGCTCCTGAATTGTTGAACATTCCGATTAATAAAACAAGTCTTGGCCTGTCATTCAACGCGTGAAATTCAGAACAATAAGTCACTAGACTTGCATAAGGTCCGCTAACACTATAAAAAAAATTCAACAATTTTTAACTGAAGCGAAAAAGCATTGCTAATAAATTATGAAAATTACTCAAATTATAAAATTATAAAAATTATAAATTATTACTAGTTGAAACAATAAAAATTAGTAATTATTAATTAGAAATTAACAATTACCAATTATTAACTATTAAGGGGACATTCCAGTTCAAAATGTAAAAAAAATCTATTTTTTTTTGTTTTTATTTTCGGATTTCTTATAGTGTCAAGAATAATCTCCTAAAATATTATTGCAAAATTCGAAGTAAAACAAAAGTTATACATCCTTATTCTTCGCCATGTCAAAGATGTTTTTGTATGCGGATAAGCAATCGAATGATTTAAATGTTTTTTCATTTGCATTTTTTAAAAAAGACCAACAAAAATGAATTTGGTGTTGCTGATCACAAATTAGATATCAAATTTTCAAAATTCAAAATGGTGGATCCAATATGGCGGAAAACACAATTTTTTAATTTTAATTTTTTTTCGTCCACTATATTGCATCCGCCATTTTTAATTTTGAAAAAATGATATCATATTCGTAATCAGCGACCCCAAAAACCCCCCCGTAACGATTTTCAAGCAAATCCAATGATTTTGAAAAAAAATGTCCGCCATATTGGATCCGCCATTTTGAATTTTAAAAATCTGATTCCATATTCGTAATTAGCGACCTAAAAACCCCCAAGTAAAGATTTTCAAGCAAATCCGATGATTTTTTTTAAAAAAATTCAAAACTTATGAACAAAAACTTTAAATGCGTTTTTCTCAAAATGTCCTTTTTTGATCTGGTAAGAGTGATATCTCGAGTTCTTCTGAAGCGATTTTAAAAAATCAAACGGCTTTTGATTCAGCGTCATCATGCCTATAAGTGAAACCTCAGAAACTGGAAAATTTCCAACTCCCCTTTTTTTATAAGAGAAATTCTGAATAAAAACACCTTTTTTTTGCATATTTTGGGGAAAAAGTACTCTAAAAAAAAGGGGGGGGGAAGAAAATTCCACTTTTTTGAGGTTCCACACCTAAAGAATTATCTAACGAAGAGAATGTCATTTCGTTTTTGGTTTTATCTGTTTTAGAAAGTTTGGAATCGATCTTACCACCAAAAATGGGCATTTTCGAAAATGGCGTATATCGCCGCCATTTTGAAAAAAAAATGAAAAAAATTTTTTTTTACAAATTCTTAAATAAATTATTTATTACATGTAAAAGAAATTTTTTAAATAAATGTCATAGTTATTTTAATAATATATACTAAAAAAGCCTTCTTTTTGCCTGTTTTGAACTGGAATGTCCCCTTAATTACTAATTATATAGTATTAGTAATTATTATTTAACAGTTATTACACATTGATTAGTTAGAAAAAATGAAAATTATTTTTAAAAAAACTAAAAAATCCAACAAAAATGAATTATTAATTAGCAATTAGTAATTAGTAATGATTAATTGCTAATTAATAATTACTATTTTTTGTAGGGTAAGTAATTAGTAATTATTATTTAACAGTTATTACGACTATAATTAATAATTAGTTAAAAAAAATAAAAAGTAAATTAAAAATGATCAAAAAAACTAAAAACCCTACAGAAAATAGTAATTATTAATAATTAGCAATTAGTAATTACTAATTAGTAAGTAGTAATTATTTTTTAACAGTTATTAATAACTAATCAGTAATTAGCAGTTATTAACAGAGTGTTTAGCAAGAAGTAAGAAAAAAATTCCCAACATGTTTGCTTTAATGGGAAATATGGTTATTGTTACTGACATGACATAATTAACAATTAATTAATTTCTAATGATAGTGACAGACGATAATAAATAATTTAACTCTTGTTAGATTAAAATATTTTTAAATTAATAAAAAAATTTAATTTCTGTTTAATTTAAAAGATGTTTTCCCTGACTTTAAAAAAAGGTTTCCTGACTTTTTTCTGACTAAAAAATTCCTCGACTTCCCTGATCATTAAACATACTAATTAATTATACTTTTAATTATTAATTGCCAATTATTTTTTACAAAATATTAGTTACCAACTATTAATTAATAATTATTAATTGTCGCAATTTACTAATTATTACCTACTAATTATTAATTACTAATTGTTATTTACTGATTATTTTTTTATACTATTTACTAAATCTTTTTCTTACATAAACGCTCAGAACAGAATTATATTTTCGCCTTAGAATAGAAGAAATATTTAGTTGAAAACTTACACGAAGCCAGACATGAATTTGAAGAATACGAGAACCCAAAAAGTTTGTGACGTTCCAGTCATAAAATTGAGAACACCATCGACAAATAAACAGTATATTAAAATTTTTTTTCTACCCAGTACATCTCCTAAAAAGCCCCATAAGAAAGCACTGGAGACCATTCCTGAAATTATTTTTTTTAATCCTCTCATTCAATTCCATAAACTAGAGAAACTATAGAAAATAATTCCTTTATTGAAAAAAACTTTATTACTAAATTAAAATTTATCAATAATTATCTGTTATAATTAATAACTATCTATTGTAATTAATAATTACGTATTTTTCTGATAAAGTACAAGATATCTTCAAACCTGAATAAACGGCAGCATTGAGAAGGCCTTTGTAAAGGGGCGTCAATCCCAAATCGCATTGCACCGAAGGAAGAATCATTGAAGTATTCGAAGTATCAAAAATCGACGCCCAAGTGGCGGGAATCATAACCAAATACAAAATATAGTGAAATTTACCATAACCACAGGCAGTAACTGCCGTTTCAAAATTACTCCCCTTAGCATCTATCAAACAAAAACATTAAAATTTGAAAAATAATTAACAGTATAATTTTAATAATTATTAAAAATTCTTTTCTGCCCCCAAAAACGAAAAATGATTTATTCTCTGAACCTACTTGAATTTTGAAATCCATGATCCTTTTTATCAAACGTTTTTGAATTCGACATCCTAAAGCTCACCAAGTTTTCCACTCAACTGATCGTCATATGATTTCTTCACTCTGATGTGGTATCCCGAAACGAAGACCTCTGGACTTTCTTATTAAAGTGACTGGCATTTAATACAGCCTATTCCGAGCAAACACTTTTATCATTAACTACTTTGCAGTTGATGTACAGAAGATACATCATTGCGTAAGATCGACTAACACAAATCGTTTTAAACAAGTTTTCACTATTTTTTGACGAGCGACACACACACGATTACGTATATTTGTACATTTATTGGAGAAGTATTTCCAACTATATATATATATATATATATATATATATATACTTGATATCAAAACAAATAACATTCGAAATTTCTGTTTGTACTATCTCAATTTTTCTAGTTTTCACTGCATTCAAATTATAGTAAATAGTAAAATACAAGATAACTTGAAAATTCTTCTAGGGGGGATACAGAAAACACATTTACTTTTTGAGGTGTCATCGAACCTGATTATCGAACACTAAGCAACTATTTTAAAACATCGGTACAGCTTTTTGTGGAAATTGTTATAATCTGCATTTATTCTTTGAATTTGATGAATAATATTCATGAATTTAATAAAAAAATTTAAAAAAGCAGAGAAAAACAAAAATAACAGATGACACTAAACATCACAGATTTTTGCATAAACAAACTGTTTTAATCGTTATATACTTCTACTAAAATTTCACCAACACTGTAAGACTCGCTGTTAATAGTAAATATTCTTTTAATTTTAAATTTTAAGTCCTAAAATTAACCTAATCTACTTTTAAGCTTAAAAATAGGTTACTTTTCAATAATTTCGGTTTTAAGATGCAAACGATTTCAGACTTTGTTTCTTCTGTAAAAGAATGATTAAATCTAAGTACAAAATTTAATTACATAAATATTCTTAATTATATCCACTTTAAAAATATGTATTGTTTTCAGTTTAATTTCGGCTAAAATAACTGATACTAGTCCAAATATTGGCGTAATTTCATATTAAGAAACTAATTCTAAGAACAAAAAGTGTCTTCTTAAATTTTAAGTAAAAATATCAACAAATAAAGTAAACTTAAAAAAAACTTCAGTTTCAAAAGAATTTATTTTTGGACTGTAGAAGAACCCTATAATTTCAAGGACGAAAACGAGTTTTATTTTAATTAAAAATATTTTTTATTGTTGCCTTTATTGTTCTTTGGAGAAAATTTTAATAAATTTTGTAATAAATAACTCAAAATTTGTAATATTTATTGACAATACATTTACGTACTGAATTGAAAACAATTGTCTACTAAAACCATAAGCTTTATGTTGAATTTTATACATTGCCTTATAAATTAAGACAAATCTAGTTCTAAGTAAATAATAAACAAGAAACTTAGATCTATTAATACTTTATTTCCTGAGATGTTCAAGTTTAAATTATGATAAAATTTAATTTTAAATTTCAAATAATTGAAATCTTATTTAAAAATAAAATTTTCTGTTTAATAAGAAAAAAAAAATTTTTACTCCTTAAAATTGAAAAACTAATGTTCGTCCTACATTAAACTTAAAAGAATAGAAAATACATTTTCGAGAAACCAGAAAAAATCCAAAATAAAAAAATTGCAAGAAAAGCAAAAGAGAAACCAAGAGCATCAAAAGAAAATCGTCAAAGAAAATGAAAAATCAAAATAGAATCAGTAGAGTATCAAAGGAATAAAAAAATGTCAAAAGAAAATCAACAGATTATCAAAAGAATAAAAAGATGCACCCGCAGCTCCTAAAGTGTTATAAAAAATTTAAAAAAAAACGACAAAATACCAAAAAAAATTTAAAACCAACTGATTACCAAAAGAGGATTGTGGTACATTTTTCCCAAAATACGATTCCCCAGAGGATATTTTTTCCAAAATCATGTTTCCCAAACAATAGTGGTTTCTAAAGGACATTTTTCTCAAATTACCAACATATTTGTGCAAGAATTTTTCAATTATTTTTGTAAATTATAAAATTCTGCTTGAGAATTGAATTATTTTCATAAATAAGAAAACTCATCGCAGAATATAAATTATTTTTAATACAATTTTAATTCAATTGCCTGAAAAATGTAATCATTCTTAAAAATTTTATTAATATTCGTCGAAAGAATTCAATTATTTGAAAATTTGTTGGTAAAATTCTTTATAAGAATTCAATTTTAAGAAAAATTCAATTCTTCAATAAATTATTTAATCTTGAATTTAAATAATTGAATTCTAGTAGAATTCCCTAATAAAAAATGATTTAAAAATTAATTTCAGTTAAAATTTTAGATAATAATTGAATATTAGAAGCTTTATAGAGAATGAATTTTTAAAAATAATTGAATTTTGAAAATATTAATTTTAAAAAACAATTCTGTACAACTCATTTTTTTGACAAAATTTGATGGAAATTTTTTTTGAAATTATTTCTAGTTTTTAGTTTCTAATAAATTTAATTGAAAAATTTCCCAATAATCGAAATTACGTAAAATTAAAATGTGTACAAATAGATTTGAAAATTCTCAAAGAACTTTTTCAAAAGTTATTAAAAATAATTTATTTAAAGAAGAATATTGTTCTGATGAACAATTTTATTTTGGGAAAATATGAGTTTGGAAAAAAAATTTTTTTGGGAAAAAAGTACTTTGGGAGACTCTTCCTTGGGAATACGATTTTTTGTGAAAAATGGCCGTTGGGAAAATGGGTTTGGAAAAAGTGACCCCCTACCCAAAAGAGTGCAAGAGTGACTTAAAAATGTACAACAAAAAATAAAAAAGATCCAATGAACTACAAAAAGAAATAAAAAAAGAACCAAAATAATACCAAAACAATAAAAACAAAACAACAAAATACTAAATATATAAAAAAAGAACTAAGAGATTATCACAAAAATAAAAATAAAAAAGAACCAAAAACATAAAAACAGAAGCAACAAAATACCACAAACATAAAGAAAGAACCAAGAGAGTAACACAAAAATAAAAGTAAGAGAAAAGTAAAAGAGTACCAAAAAAAAACAGAACCAAAACTAACAAAATACAAAATGAAAAAACCAAGAGAGTACAAAAAAACTAGAACTAAGTTAATATACAAAATAAATAAATAAAGAACTAAAACTTTACCAAAAAATAAAGACAGAACCAATGAACAAAAAAAGAAACCAACAGAATCAAAATCAATTTAAAATTTCCTCATAATTTACAGAAGTCAAGGACTGATATAAAGGAACCATCAGCAACATTATGTCATTGCAAAAAAAGAATACATATATATTTGCATTAAGCCTAATTTAAGTTGATACTATGCACACATTAACAGCCCAAATATTGACATAGAATTAAGATAAAGAACAATAATTGTAAAATCTAAAATTAGCTCACGTTTAATTCGCAAAAAATACCGAAAAAGAATGAAATTCTATTTGCAACATTAAAATCTAAGTGGATGAATATTATTAAAACAAATTTCCAATTTTATCAAAACATATTAAAAGTAATATCCACTAAAATCATCTCTCCAAGAATTTGATACGATAATTATATATGATAATATTCATTTAAATTTGATTTTAATATTTCTCGAAATATGAATAAATTCTTTCAAAGAAAAAAAAAATGGGAAAAAAGGAAATATTCTCAATATCCCAATGGACGACAAGCAGTAAAATTTTATTTGTTTTCAAATAACCTTTATCTTCATAAGCGCATAAACTTTATCTACATAAACTTAATTATCATAAAATTTATTACGGTTATCCATATATAAGGATGTCTTATCTCAAAATCCCCATTCATCCCATAATTAAATTAGTTTTTCTCTCTTTTACACAATCAAATCTAAAGTAAATTTCAAAGTAAACTTTCACCATCATATTTGTGTACCTACAATTATACTGTAAAAATATTTCGAAATGCATCAAGAAAAATTATCAGAATCGTTGCAACGAACTTGTATGCTAATTTCGCAAAAATACCTCATACATTCAAACATTGAAAATGACAATGTATAAATTGTATAAATTTTCTCTTGAAAATTAAATTACGATTAAAAATTTCCATCCGCGAATTGGCCTAATTGTATAAGGCTGAGAACAAAATATCTCATCGTCATTCGCACATCAAATGCGAAAATAAACATTAGCTTTTCTTCGCAATATTTATGACATACTTTTTAATTTGAAAACAAAAGTATATAAATAGGAAAAAAAAGTTTTTTCTTTCTACTTATTATTAACATTGTAAGTTAAATTTCTTCTCGCGTGCAATTGTATAGTCTTGATTAATCAAACGAAATTTACTCCTTATTTACATTTATATTATAATTTGAGTACCTATACATATTTTTTTTGCATTGAGTTTATTTCTATGTCGCAAGAGTAATAAAAGATAAGATACTCAACAAAGAGTAAAAACTTGCTATCTCTTTTTTGGTTTTCTCATTTTATGAACATCAGCGGGTTTCTCGATAAAAGCATTTTTATTTTTAATGGAATTTTTACTACAACCTAGAAAACAGTTTAGTGTAAAGTGCAAACAAATTTTGCGCCTATTACAATTTAAATTTGATTAAATTTTATGGTCAGACCAGACAAAACTTTTTCTAAATCCAAAGTGTTTACAATTGTAAATTAGTAATATTATAATAATATATATAACAATAAACACCTAATAATAGTAATTAGTAATTAATTCATAGTTTACAACTAGAAAAAAGATATATATTTATGATTCAATGTGGCGGACGAAAAAGTTAAAAACCATCACTCGGATTTGTTTGAAACTTATTATTCTGGGGCTTTTGGGGTAATTTTGAATTATTAAAACCATATTCGTAACCAGAAACCTTAAAAAATTCCCAAGTGACAGGTTTTAAGCAAATCCGATTGATTTTTAACTCTTTTGTCAGCCATATTGAATCCGCCATTTTGATTTTTAAAAATCCGATTTTATATTCGTAATCAGCGACCCTAAAACACCCGAGTAACAAGTATCAAGCAAGTCAGAGTGATTTTATCTTTCTCAGCCGCCATGTTGGATCCGACATTTTGAATTTTTAAAAACAAACACTGGATTCGTAATCAGCAACACCGAAAACATTTAAAGTATATTATGACTTTCTTTTCTAAGTAATATACTTTTATTTGCAGTAACAATTATTTAAAGTAATAAAAAAAAAATAAAATTGAAATTATCTCAAAAACCTGACGCGTAG